TAGTGTTGCAGCTTGCTAGAAAATCCTTCTGCAAAGCCGAAGTCGCAGTGCGTGCGATAAGATAAGATAATGAAGATTTATAAATTGCTAAAGCGTGCTAACTTGCAAACAGCGCTGGGAGACCCACATTTGCTTTGTTCGTAATCGGGTACATTCGGGATGATGTTTTAGAACCTCTGTGGCCCCTGACGGATTCAAAAATGATGCCCTCCGCACATACGTACCATACATACACATACATATTGTTGATTCAGTGATAAACACGCATAAATTGTATATGCATTACTACCAATGAATAAGGGATTTCAGTGTCTAACCAAGAAAGGTATAGATTTTATTTTGCTGTAATTTACGCATTGTGTAATAATAAATTAAAAACTATTGTAAGTTTTATTGAATAGAGCTAAAAAACGTGTGTACGTGGGTTCAGTTTCATTTGGTTAGCAATAATGGAGAAAAAAATATTTTTCGTAAAGTTGAGAAAACATAATGTTCGTACTGAACAACGACGCTGCACAGGGTCAAACAAACCTCTATATCTAAAAATCTATTTCATGTATAAAGCTACAACTCCACAGAAATTCCTGTGAGAAATGCGGGACTCGGCAGACAAAATTGCATCAAAATCCGAGATGGTCTCGCGGGGGAACTTTTCCAGAATTTGGGAAAAATCGATATTTTTATAGGGGTGGACATGTTTCCAAAGGATGGCTGCATACTTTTGTTGAAACGTTGTCTTCTAGAATGCCAAGATCACCCAAGAAATGCCACGAAAACATTCCAACACAACTATGTTCCCTCCTCCGGTCTGGACCGGCGATTGTTGCAGAGTGTTTGCGTTCAGACGTTTCACGGCGTATACGCCAACGACCATCTGCCCGATGGAGCAGAAAACGTGATTCATCTGAAAAAGCACCTATCGCCACTGAATGGACGTCCAGTTGCTGTAATGGCGTGCAAATTCCAACCTTCGTCGCTGATGAACAGCAGCCAGGATGAGTGCGCCAGGCGCCTGGTGTGGAGGACCTGCTACGGAGGTCCATGCCCAGCTGCGTTCGCTGAGCGCTTACTGAGCAGATACTCATCGGTAGCCCCTTGGTTTAACTGAGCGGTCAGTTCTACAGGCGCATGTCTCTCCTCCCGTATACAACTCCGCTCCCGCCGTTCTCCCCTGTCCTTAAAAAAATAAAGAAAACATTTGGACCTCTTTTGAGATTTTGAGCGGAGCCGGAGAGAGAGCAGAGCAGGGGGCGGAGCGGTGGCGAAGCGGGGGGCGGAG